GGGGGGGACAGGGGGGGAAAGACAGGGGGCCGGGGACTCACCTTGAGGCCTGGGTTAGCAATGAGGCGGGTGTTGTCACTGAGGTAGGCTGTGTAGTGTTCCACCATGCGCTTCGTCTCGGGCTGGCTGAGGTGCTCGTAGGGAGAGGAGAAGCTGCCAGCAGACAGCATGACAGTTGGACTTTCTGCAAGGGAAGCCAACAAAGTGGGTCTGAGGGCAGACTGCATCTGTGGCCCAAACAAAGGCGGCAGCGAGGTCAGTCCGCCATGGTGGCTTCGGGGCCCCCCAAGCACGGCTAGGAGCCCCCGGGAGGCTCCGCGATGGGAAAGGCCACCCTCTCTCCTCTCAGGAAGCTTAGTCAGGAGCAAGCAAACTGAGGAGATCAACTCACAAGAGGCCTAGGGCCTGAAAGGGCAAATGTCCAAAAGATCTTAGCCCTACATATAATGTGCTTCACGTCTTTTCCTCATCTGAAAAGCAGGGAAAAAGGAATGCCCCCAACCATGTAGTCAGTTAAAACATACGTGACAAACGAGCCAATAGATGTATCTATGCAAGTGGCACATAAGAAGGGCTCAATAAATGTAAATTACTATTATGCTTGTATTAGGCGCCTTGGTGGTATAATGGTTACGTGTTGGCCTACGATCCACATGGTCAGCAGTTGGACACCTGCAGCAGCTCTGAGGGAGAAAGACTGGGCTTTCTACTCCCATAAACAGTTAGACTCGGAGTCAGCAAGGACTCTGTGGCAGTGCGTTTATGCTTGCATTATTAATTAGGAAGAAGGAAAGATGGAACACTGGAAGAAATATGCACACGTTCAAACCACAGAACAAATACTTCTCACAGCTGGATGTAGCCCAACTGAGCCTAAACAAAAGTTTGTACAAAAAGTTAGTTCATGAATTCAGGTTTCACTGTTAGTCTGATCTAAAGGGGCAGGATTCCTGGTGGTATAATGGGTTATGTGTTCGCCTGCTAACCTTAAGATCAGCAGTTCGAAACCACCAGCCACTTTCTACCTCCCGTAAAGTACAATTTCGGAAACTCACAGGGCAGCTCTACCCTGTCTGATAGAGTTGCGACTAATCAGTGGCAGTGAGTGAGTTTTATCTAAGAGGGAAATAGTGCTTTTCTGCTTAAGACAAACCCCCCACCCCTCCAGGAGCGGCCTTTTCTAGTTGAAACAAACTAACAATTTTAGGAAAAACCAGTGCTGTAGAGTGGATTGAGCAGAGAGAGAGAAAGAGCTGACATGTGGAACTGAAAGCTGTTTTCAGGAGGCAGAGACAAACACTCAATTATAGATTCTTCTACATATAGTTGACTGCATTTCAATATTCCTCTTTGTGTACCATCAGCCTTCTGGGAAGGAGCTTTGACATATATTTAATTATTTTGCCTTTAAAATACTCATCATCAATAAAATTAGATGAGAACTCCTTATTCACCACATCTTCATTTTTCATTCCCCTTTTCAGAACATCTTAATACTTACACAAACAAACAATCAAACTCACTGCCATGAGTCAATGCCAACTCACACTGCCCCTGTAGGCCTGGCCCTGAGAGTTCTACTGGAAAGGAGTAGAAGTCCCAGCTTTCTCTGAGGAGCAGCTGGTGGATCCAACTGCTCACCCTGAAGATGTAGCCCAGTGCCTAACCACGATGCCACCAGTGCGCCTTAATCATCTTGGTTCCCCTCTATTGCCAGCTGGTCCGACAGTAACCCCGTGACTCCTCTCTGTTCCCCTAAGGCCCGGTGCCTGACGTGCAGATGAGTATATGAGTGAAGAGGCCAGACACAGGTCTGTGGTTTGACTGGGTGACTCAGACCAGGTAATTATTCATACGCAAAGGATTTGTGGCCCCAAACTGCCTTTTCTGAGCACTCTCTATGAGGTAGTGCTGGCCAATCCAAATACAGTGCAACCCACAAATGTGACTTAAAATTTTCTATTAGCCACATTTAAAAATGCAAAAAGGTTAAACAGATTTTAATAATATAATTTATAGTATCCACTATATCCAATATATTATCCTTTTAACATGCAACCAACAGAAAAATACTGAGTGCTGGGCCTCTAACAAGAAGCCCTGGTAGTGTAGAGTGTTATGTGTTGGCCTATGAACCATAAGGTCAGCAGTTCGAATCCACAAGCTGCTTCGTGGGGGCCTGATGAGACTTTCTACTCCTATGAAATTTTATAGCTGCAGAAACCCAAAAGGGCGTTTCACCCTGTCCTGTAGGGTCACTAACCACAAAGCCAAACTCACTGCCAATGAGTCATTTTGATTCACAGGACAGGGTAGAGCTGCCTCTGTGAGTTTCTGAGGCTGTAACTCGTTATGGGAACAGGAAGCCCCGTCATTCTCACGTGGTGACCTTGCAAATTGCAGCCCAAATGGACTCACTAGGAGTGGGTTTGCGGCTTTTGAAATCTAGTGTGTGTTTCAGACTCCCGGCACATCTGACTTTGAAAGAGCTGCATTTCAAGGCTTAGCAGCCACCTGTGGCTTGCGGCACCCACACTGGACAGCTCTGCGAGGAGGGATTATCAGAAGGAAAGAAAAAAACTAAGCCTGAGGTTTCGTTCTTCAAGAAAAATTGCTGCTCTTCGTGGTTTTAAATTTCAAAACAGCCACCTCATTTTCACCAATAGTTGGGTTTAGCTTGCTCACACAGCACTTTTAAGAGAGTCACGAATACATTTGCTTTTCAGTAAGCACTCTTAAAAATATGAATTGAAGGGCATATATATGCTTTTGCATAAAAACAAACAACAAAAACCCCAAACCTAAATCAAAGCAGATGTCATAGCTGAGCTCCTTTGACTGACTCATTGGCGCTCTACATTGCCGAAAGGGCTGACTCATGTCACAGAACTGACCCCTTAACCCAGCCTGCTCTGCTCGGATGGGCTTTATAAGCAGAACCCAAACCCAGCCTGCCTCATTTGGAACCAAGCACCCTTATTGTTGCACCTCTTTTAACTCAGTGTATCAGTGAAAAGGCGGATACGTGCTTTACGTAGGGCTCCGCCAGCCTGGACCACACATACAGCAGGGGCAGCAAGGTGGCCGAAGGGAGGAGTGGGAGTCCTAGCTATGCTTTTTTATCTTGGAAAAAAACATTTATCTCTCGTAAATCCAAGTGTCCTCATTGATAACAGGTCATCTCCGATGATGAATGTTTAACACTTGGCAAATTAAACATAAATTCCCTTTGGTTTTCTTTAAGTGATTTCCTACTTCTTAAGCTCTTTTGAAGATAGAGAGCCGTCTACTGTCAATGCCCTACACAAACTCCTTTGGGTCTTTTCCTGTTTCTCTACTCCCTCAGCTCCATACCTCTCCATCTGTGTGCTTGCCTCTCATGAGCTGCGCCTGCAACTCTCTCTGAAGGGCTAGCTTTGTGCTGCGAGGACCTTCCTCTGTGGCCAGCACTAGCAGAAAGCTGACAGCGACTAGGGACTACGAAAGCGCAGCTCCCTTCCCCGAGTCTGGATCCGGCTGCAGTGTAATCTGCTCTCCAGGGCTCCCTCTACAGGCTGGGTTGGAAAGTGATGTAAAGTCAAACTTGCTGGTCCTCTCCCAGCTCGTATTCCCCGGTGGTTTCCCCAGGCGCCCCACCCCCGCTCTGCCCTCCCCCCTGCAGTGGCACCCTACTCCTCTCAGCGTCAGATAGAGAACCTGACCCAAGACAAGCTTTCAAATCACTCTTAGAATTTCTTTTAATCGTCTCTTAGCTAACAGGCACTGCACACATTCAACATCTTTTTCTTTCTTTTTTCACAGTTCAAACTGATATTTAGGGAGCGCTGCTAACGCGAACGGGCGGTAATGGTGGTTTAGTGGTAGAAATGTTTGCTTCTCATGCCAGACACCCGGGCTGGGTTCCCGGCCAACCTATCTCCAGCAGTCACCCCCACTCATCTCTGATTCGAGGCCTGCCCGTCACTAGGACGCTGAATAAGTTTCCCTGGCGCTTTCAAACTAGGAGGGTCTGGGTGGCAAGGGCTGGCAACCTACTTGTGAAAAGCATCAGTAACCACACGCCAGAGCTGTCATGGGTCATGGGGTTCGACACAGGACCAGGAACTATGGTCAGGAAGTCCCTGAGAGGCGGGGGCAGACTTGGCAGCAGCTCACGACAATAACAGACCGTGAATAAGACCATGAATAAGGGCGGTGGGGCGTGGAGACTTTACCTAGAGTTGCCAGCTGTTTGAAGTGGAGGCAGGTGCTAGGCTGGCCCAGGAGGTCCAGCCGGTGGTACAGCAACTTGCTGCTGGGCACAGTGTTGAGGTTCTTCAGTTGTCTGACAGGTATTTCTGGTTGTATCACCACAATGCACAGTATAAAGGACGTGTCTTGGACCTGTTAAAGGCAATTAAAGAATATCTAACACAGAAAATGAAAGTTCAATCGGGCAGGGATTCTGCCCACCCTATTTTCTGCGGTCTCTTGGTCTTCCGTACTTAGATAAAAGGGGCTCATTAAATATGGATGAATGAGTAGAAGACGGGCAGACAGGGTGATAGAAAATCTCTCTGGCCAAAGTCCTATTTCCTGTTTTCCCTCTTGGCTGAGGGACATTAACCTATGCAGCAGAAAATCCTGGAACTAATGAAAGGATCAGACGGTCGTTCCTTAGAAACAGTGACCCTGAGGGCCTTCCTTACTTCAACCCATGGCTCTAACCCAGGATATGGCATACGAGCACCAGACTGACTGCCATTTGGTTTTGAAATGATTTTAAAAACACATAATTGGTTCGGCAATAAATGTTCTGAAGAAGTGACCATTTTTCAAGTCCACTTATCCGAAGTTATTAGAGATCAAAGTAGATGAATGGTTCCCAGGGGCTGGGAGGAAGGGGAATGGGGAGCTATTGCTTAATGTGTACAGAGTTACGGTGTGGTAATGAAAACACTTTGGAAATAGAAATGTTTCCAAATATTGCACAATATTGTGAATGGAATTGTAACAGAAATTGTTCGCTCGCAAATGGCTCAAGTGACCAATGTTATGTATAGCTTACATTGAATATGCATCTGACGCAGACACATTTTCCATTGCTAGTCTCTATTTTCGGAGATGAACAGAACCTATTGAAAAGGCGGCATGTAAGCAAAAGAAGAGGGGCTGACCAGCTTAGTTTGAAGGAAAGGACCGAATCAAAACCCCAACTCACTGCCTTCAAGCCGATGCCGACGCCTGGCGCCCCTGTAGGGCAGGGCAGAACTGGCCCCGAGTCCCAAGACTACCCTCTCTAAGGGCCTAGACAGCTCCGCCTTTCTCCCTCCGGAAGGCTGGCAGTTTTGAAGTGCTGACCGTGCCGAGGGCAGTCCAGTGTATAAGCACTATGCCCCCAGCGCTCCTGCCTGATAAAGCAAGTAAAAAAAGTGCTCCGAAAGAAATCTGTTTCAGGATACCGTTTTTTTACGCAGGATACTGTTTTTAGGCAGGATGCCCCCTTAAAGTGTGCTGTAGTTTGTAAAAACGACCGCAGAATCTTTCAACAGAAGAGAAAGCCACATCGTCCTGGGACTGCTTTCCAGTACTACAGCCAAGGATAGTCAATTTGTTTAGCAAATTTAATCCTCTTCCCCCGCCCACCGAATTAGAAAGTGACAGGATGCACTGTTTCCTGTCCTCTCGTCTCAGACAGTCAGGCATTCTCCCGAGTGGCTGTTTTCTCCGTTAAATCACAACACGCCCCCCAACACCCCCACCAAAAGGCCCTACCAGAATGACCAGGGTATCATTTTAAATGGGACCTGTTCTGTAAGAGAAAAAGAAAATCCCCCTTAAGTAACAAACGCAGTGCTGGACAGATAGTCCTTTTGTGGAAAGGAGGCTCAACAACAGATCTGATGATAGACCTGTCTATGGGGTTCTTGGGTAGCACAAGCAGTGAGCTCAAGCTGTTAACGGAGAGGTTGGTGGTTCAAGTCTATCCAAATAAAGAAAAGCCTGGCATTCCACTTCTGAAGAACCAGTCATGGGAAATCTCCTGCAGACACAGTTCTATTCCGACACCATGAGCTGGAATGGGCGGGACAACAATGGACTTATTTATTATCATTAGATTGTGAACTTCATAATTGAGGAGTTATTTTTTGCACTAACAAATCACGGTGGCACTCCACAGGCTCTAGGTGGCGAGAGAGCTTATTTTCTGCCGTTTGCACCGGATCTGTGTCTGGAAGCGATGGAAGCCTCTGTAAGACAGGAGCATCCTCTTATCTTCTGACTCCACCGTGCCACCTGTCACCGCCCCACAGCCTCTTCAAATGCTCAGAGAGGGGCCGGAAGGGAACAGTGGCAGTCAAGCTGCAAACGTCGCCCTTCTCCCTGAAAGGCAACTACAGAGGACTCAGCAGGTGTTCTTCTTACGACTGGGTGAACTAGGTGAGTCTTTAAAATTTCAATGCCATTAATTATTGCTTCCTCAACTTCTGACTTAATAATGACCTCCCTGATAATTTCAGACCTCTGAGAAAGCTAACACTTCCATCGGAAGTGACTCCATGATTGTTGTGGTGAAATGAGTTTGTTTGTGTGGCCTTTTGCCTAGCAGCTTTGGGAAAAAAAGAGCTTCATTAAAACCCACTCGGATCACAAACCAGGCTTCCGCGTGAATTCTTTCTTGTGCGAAACCAAGGACCGAGGTATTTCTCACCCAAGGAATCTAATAGTTTTCCCTTTTTCTTCTGCATTAGACGTAATTCAAATGTACAGCAGGGAACTGGTTAATAAGACGTTTGTAAAGAAGCTTATGCCTGTACGTGTCTCAAAATCTATCAAGCAGCTACTTCTGAGCAAAGTGAGGGCCCAGGCGAGGAGGAGGGAAGGACCTATTTTTCTTTCTACTTGGTACCCTTTTAGGAGCCCTGGTGGCATCCTGGATTATGAACTGGGCTGCTAACTGCAAGGTTAGCAGTTTGAAACCACCAGCTGCTCCAGGAGAGAAAGATGACGTATTTTTTTTTTTTACTCCCAATAAAGAGGTACAGATTTGGAAACCCATAAAGGCAGCTCTGTCCTGTAGGGTCACTATGAAAGTTGATGGCATGAATTTTGTACCCTTTGATAAAGGTTGGTTTATTAATCATGAGCATTTGTCTTCTCTACAGTTTTTAAAAATCGGACAACATCCGTGGGACCTCTCCTTTTTCCAACCTCTCTAAAACGGATGAGGGACATAATCAGTCCTGAGATTCTTCACCACCCCCAGCTGAGGAGCACAGCCCCACCACCTTCCGGAGCAAAGGGGACCTGCCCCAACTCACCATCTTCCAGGCGTAGCTGACATTGTAGGCGTCCTTCCCGGTGTCTCTGAGCTTGTTTATGTGCCAAGACAGGGAGGAGTTCACGGGGACTGCGATGACCTGACTGCCCAAGGGGAGGCTGCGTTGGCAAACACAAACGCTTGAGGCAAACGATAAAACTAAGCACTGAATTCAAAGCAGAGAAGAAGCTGGGAGTCCATGACCACCTCTAGATTTTAAAACCTAGGAAGCTCAACCCTTTGGAAAGAGTTAATATGCAGTTTTCCATTTCCTAAATGTATTAGGTCACGCTGCACTAAAATAAAGTAGTCCTTATCCCTCCACTTGCTCCCCCCATTCTAATTCTTACCAGAGCGCCACTAGTCTCACAACACTCCGTCACCAATTTTTCACCTATGACTTCAAAGATGCATCTCTATTGCTTATGCTGTGTCAAATTAGTGTATCATTGTTGGAAACAAACAAACAAACAAAATGCAATGCGGCCTTCTTGGCATATGAATGTACCGTGGGTCCCAAACCAACATGTTGTCAAGTTAGAATTTAGCACACAGGCGAGGTGGTCCCCTGAGCTATCTTATATTTTGCCAACCTTTTTTCAATTTGGAATAATTGGAATAACTTTTTAAAAATTAGGTATGTCCTATGCTACCACTAAAATCACTGTGAAAAGAGAGTCTAACTTTTCCTCCCCAGTAATCATTCTGAGAAACTTCATCTGTTAAACAGAGCAAAAATGTAGGCTTATCCATCTGGAAAAATGACTGAGTATATATTTGTCTTATTAACATGATTTTATCCTCCAATAAACACTCATATTTGACCAGTATTCAGAACAAAATAAAATACTAAGACCCTCACCTTTTCCTTACCTTAGGATATTTTGCCGAACCAACTCAAATTTGGGGATATTTTCATAATGTATGATGTCAGTATGGAGGGGGGGTTCTGATAGTAAGTATGGCCTGGTAAGAGATGGATGCATAAGTGTATACCCTGAAATAAGAAAACAAAACAAAACAAAATGCACGCTATGGGAAACACATTGCAGGATTTAGTGCTGACTATCATAAAAGTCTTCATCACTGGCCTGACACGCGAGGCTCTCTGAGACGGCTGCTCAGTACTCAGTTGCTCAGTACGAACTTCAGTGATCTAATAAAACCTGACCTTGTTTTATGTGTGCTTGCCTAAATCTCTTAAGTCTAGAAAGATGCCGTAAATTATCCAACATCTGTCCAATCAAGAATATGCTCAGAATGTTGCCCTCATGGTTTTCATTTTATGTGTTCTACCCCATAAACCTTTTCACCAATAAATCAAAAGATAACAATATAGACCCACAACAATGGCCCAAAGAATCACATTCTATCTGTCATTCAACATTCATGTCTAATTTCCTGATGCTAAAAATTGTTCTAAGGAGCCCTAGTGGCATGGTGGTTATGGGCTGGGCTGTGATCTGCAAGGTCAGTGGTTTGAAACCACTAGTTACTCTATGGGAGAAAGACAGGGCTTTTTACTCTCATAAAAGGTTATAGTCTCAGAAACGCACGGGGGCAGTTCTATGCTGTCCTGTAGGGTCACTATGAGTCGGGAAGGACTTTACGACGAGGAGGTTTTTGTTGTTGTTGTTGGAAAAAGAACTCTTACCTATCTCTCAACACAGCAAAGAGGCAAATGCATAACTTTTCAGTCTGCCGTCATGGTAGTCTACTACATGCGAGCAGTCCACATTGTTCTGTTTCCTTCTCAATACTATCATTCGCCTACTACATTTACTAGTATCAGAATGTTGACAGCCATTTTCTTCAGTGTCTATAGCACCACTAGTTCCTATGGTAAAATTTTACAACATTACCTTTGTCATCTATTAGAAAAGTATAGGAAGCCAATGAGTCTTGGTAATATGTTACGTCTTCAAGGATGTAAGCCAGGTTGACGTCAACACCAACAATTCCAAGAAGTAGGTTTCCAAAATAACAGGGCTTACTCACAGTCATAATCAAACCTATGGGGTAAAAAAAGCAAAAATAAAAAAAACTAAGATAAATATTGGTTTCAACTCATGGGATAAAAGAGAAAGAAGGAAAAAATACAGAGAGGAAAGTAGTCGCTATGTCTAACAGTCAACAGGAACCTTGCCTTCATCTACTTTGAGATCAGAAGAGCTAGATGGTACCCACCTTATATTACTACAATGTGAATCAGGACTACAATATTGATTACTACAGTTTTGGTCAGAGAATCCTAATGGAGGGATCCTGAGTTATACTCAATTAATATGGCCCTTCCAGCCATAATCCCTTATGTGATACAATTCTGGAGTTCATTCTTTGTTTAATGGCTATCTTGGTTACTTAGATGCTATAGCTGAGAGGAGATATAAAACTGTTTCTGGAGTGGTCTGGGAAAAAGCCAGATGATTAAGGTTAGTAGGAGGTCAATGCCTACTGGCCACATCTTTCCAGAGGCCCACGGTCATATATACATAAATAAGATACAGTCCAAGGCATGACAAATAGATTATGTTGGAGTAGAACTTGATTGCATCATGTAACTCCCACCAAATGACTGTTCCCTGCATAGGATTCCCTCCAGTGCCATCCTGCTGTGTATAAAACACGCCTCTTTGTGAGCACAAGAGTGAGTGTCAGGAGTAAGGCATGCCCTGTCCCAGCACCTGGCTGACCCCTGCCTGACCTTTGGATACTGGACTGAACCGTCCCCACCACCATGGGAGACATTTTTGTGAACATTTATGAGTTCTGTGGGACACTGCAGTGATGTGCAGAACCCAGAGATGTGAGGGAACAGATACTCAAAAATTATACTCAAGACACGAGGACTCCCCAAACCTTAAACGGAAATAATCCCTTTCAGGTCAGCTTATAGCTAAGAAACAGACTGACTCACAAAACAAAGAATACTATCCATATATAATGAGATAGGAGACCAAATGGTCATAAATTTCAGCAAAGATGAGTAGGGAAGGGGCAGGGAAGCGAGAGTATTAGAAGTAGTGCATCATAATGGAATGAATGAAAATAATGACGTATTATACAACCATGTAACCAACCACTAAATAATGTGTACGGAAAAAAGCCAAAATGGAAACCTATATTTTTGTCTAAAGTTTCGCCTTAACTACATTAAGATACTAATTTAAAACAATTTAAAAGCAAACAAAACCAGGGAGTAGCAGAAAAAGCATAAAGGCTAATACTACCCATCAGCATTTAGTTTGGAGAGAAGTTTTCTATGTGATGTATTAAGGAGCCCAGCTGGCAGTGTGGGTTAAGTGCCAGGATGCTAATTGTAAGGTTACAGTTGTTGAAACCTACCAGCCACTGTGTGGGGCAAAGTTGAGGCCGTCTGCTCCTATGAAGATTTATAGTCTCAGAAGCCTATATAGGTTCACTAATGAGTTAGAATCAACTCGATGACAGTGGATTTGACTTATTTTTTGAGGGATGGGGTGGGTGGGTACCTCTTCTCATTACTAATGTGTATTATATACAATGTTACAGTATGCAATTAGATGATTTCATCATTCTCTGTGAGATTTTATGTAATGTTTTCAAGTCTCAAACACAAAGATCAGATTTAGATTACTGATATTGAAAGGCAATAATAAAAAAAAAAGGAAATAAAGAGAACTGACAACAGAGACATCAACACAAGAGAAAAAAATGGAACAAACTCTGGTGGGCGGTGCTTTCAAAGTACACATTTTTCCTGCTAGGCAGGCACCCAGCAACTCACTCTGTGTTAGAGCACCCAGTGGCGTCACCTGGGAAGGTTCTCTCTGGTCACAGTGAATTTTTTTCATAAAAGCAGTTTCTCGCAAACTTTGTTTTTTGTGATGACCGATTTAAGAGAACACTGTGCGGCTATGAAATTTTGTTTCCTGCTCAGCAAAATGCTGCAGAAACTGTTGTGATGCTGAACACAACTTACAAGGACAGCGCTATGGGAAAAACTCAAGTGTAGGAGTGTTTTTCTCGTTTCAAAAGAGGTGAAATGGTGATTGATGACAAACCTCGTTCTGGACGTCCATCAACTTCCCGAACAGATGAAAATGTTGACAAAATTTGTGCACTTGTGTTCAAAGACCGATGCTGGACCACTGAAGAGATGGAGAAGTTATCTGGACTATCTTGGAGTTTAGTTCAGCGAATTTTAGTGGAAGATTTGGGAATGTGATGGGTTGCTGCAAAATTTGTGCTTCAGATTCTGATTGACCATGAGAAAGAGTATCAACTGGAAACATGCCATGCTTTGAAAAAACAGCTCCGAAGTGACCCAGACTCCCCCCACCCCCAAGGTCATTACTGGTGACCAGAAATGGTGCTATGCTTACGGCCCCCAAAGCAAACACCAATCCAGACAGCGGAAGATGCCAATGTCAATTTGTCCAAAAGCTCATCAAGTGAAATCAAAGATTAAGACGATGCTCATTGGTTTTTTTGATGTGAGGGGGATTGTCCATTTGGAGTTTGTTCTACCAGGTCAGACTGTTAATCCAGCTTCTATTTAGGGGTTCTGAAAAGATTGTGTAACAGCACGCGACAAAAAAGGCCTGATTTGTGGCAGATGGGGGACTGGTTTTGCCACCACGACAATGCACCTGCTCATGCAGCCATCTCATTGTGCCGGTTTGTGGCAAAAACCAGAACAAAACAAAAAGCAGCATGCTTCTCTTGTCACACACCTTTTTGTTTGCAGCTGAACCTCTGGGCCACCAGAACCCCTCTCATTGACAAGGCTCCGATTCAAAACCTTCAAAGATCAAAATAAGAGTTCACTAGACACATGTCTTTGGCAAAGGCCAGTCTGTGAGCATGTGACTAACATAGGAAGTGCCTCTGGGGATTGTGGTAGTGGGGCAAAAGCTGAGCCGAGTTGATGGCCATAGAGGAATGAAGAGCCAGGGTTGGGAAAGGGGATGGTGTTTCTTTTCAAAGGTTTTGTTCTGTATGTTGCCAGAGAAGAGCAGACTTTTGAAATGCCCGTGCCTGTCAGTGACGAGTATCAATTCGTTCTTTGCTGCTCTGTGGAAGGGCTTTCCTCCCAGATGAACAAACGCACCGGGGACGGACGTGCCAGCCTCCGGTACCACTGCTGACACATTAACTCCTCTATCCAGGAGGACCTGAGCAAACACTTCTTCCGCTCTCTGAAGTGCTTATTATTTTAAAATACAAAATCATTTTAAAGCCAATGGCAAGGTAGATCAGTAGGCAGTAGACAAGTAGTTACCAATATAGAAGGGGGGTACCCATCCCCAAATAATAATTTTTCAAAGTTATTTATTTAAATTGTTTTACAAAACAGCCTTATCACTTTCAAAGTACTCTCCATTACACCTAACACATTTGTCCAATCTGCGATTCCACTCTTGGAAAAACTTTTCAAACTCATCTGTTTGAACGGCTGACAGCCCCTCCCTCTTTTTTTCTTCTAAGTCATCAAATCGCTGTCCTTTCATGTCCCTCTTCATTCACGGGAACAAAAGATCACACAGGAGTTCTGAGTACCTGCAGTATTAAGTGCTGTGAGTTAACGGAATCTAAAGAAGAGATGTGATGTGGTCACGATGTCTGCCGGCCTCTGCCATTTTCTCTGTCAAGAAGAAGGGGAAGGCATGGGAAAGGCACGAGCAAGAAGGCAGAGGAGGGACCGGGCGTTTATTGAGCACATGCCTTCGGCCAGACAGTATTCCAATGCTCGACATAGAGCATTTCATCTTTGCAATTGCCTTAATGGAACTATTTTCCCCTCTCATTTTATAGGCAAGGAGATGGAACGAAGCCAAGGCTAAGCCTTTCACTTGATCATATCACCAGTAACTTGTAATAGGATGATGATAACGACGACTACTGCTAGCAGTAATCATTATGGGTTGCATGTTAGGGACTAGTAAACCTTACATATTATCTAATTAATCCTGCTAATACCTTGCTGAAAAGGTTTACCGCCCCGTTTTGGACAAGGTTTTTGCTCATGCCCTCAGATGAACAAACGGAGTGCTGACGGGGTAAAATAATGCACCCAGGGTAACAACTGAAGTGGCTTGAAATCTTGTTAGCTATATTTTAATCTGTATTCGTTTAACTACACCCTGTTGTCTTGCCTTTGAGGCCAAATCCTGAGTGTTCTGAATTTATACCTGTTACATGATGCTAACTAACCTATAGTCCCATTTCATTAAATTTTGGGTGCATGAAAGATATGCCCATTATGTCTACTAATCGTGAGGTGATGAAGAAATATGGCTGGGGATTTCTCCTCTAGACACTGCGCTACAGACTGACCTGGGAAATGGGAGGCCCACACCCTGCAACTGTCACGCATGTTCACTCACAAACAAGGAACATCTAACTGTGCTGAGGGTGAGCCCGAGTGGTGCAGTGGTTACACGTTGGGCTTCGAGCCACATAGTTGGCAGTTCGAAACCACAAGGAGCTCCTCAGGAAAAAGACTGGGCTTTCTACTCCCATAAAGTTACAGTCTCCAAAACCCACCGTGGGGTCACTGTGACGCCAGCGCTGACTCGATGCTGAACCCCCCTCCGTGCCCATGTCTACCCGTCCCTTTCACTCCACCGAGTCAGAGGTTTTTGCCAAACTCACCATCTCCCATCTCATCAGAGAAGGGGAGGCTGAAGACAGCTTCATCAATCATGCGGTTGGGAAGGTTTGTATAGAACCTGCCCACAGTCGTCTCCAGATTACTCAGCTGGTTCAGCACCATCATGCTGCCCTTAGTCACAGGCAGGGAGGACCGGTCCGGCACGCCGTATTTCCCCGAGTTCTGTTCAGCCAGATCTCGCAGAAAAGCCAGCTCTTTCAAGCCAGTCACCCCATCTGAAATGGAAAGCCAAGACAAGATAACGTGAACCAATAAGCTCAGAGCCACAGCGGACAGCGCCATTCAGGTCTAATGAAGGCAAGGACGAGATCCTCTCATGGCAAAGGGGCACGCAGGGGACTTGGCAAGGACAGGAAGGACTCAAGATGCTGAGGCACAAAGCCAGAGGCTGGCCTTCCCCCGACAGTCCAGAGGATGAGAGTTCTTCCAAAGGCAATGACAACCAACACGTAAGTCAATAAAGGAGCCCTGTTCACGCACTCAGTGCTCTCCCTGAAAAGTTTAATTATAAAATATAAATACTTTTCCTGCCTTTAATATTAGAAAGCAAAAGCAGTGATTAAAAAAAAAAGCCTTCAATTTTAATAAGCAGATGAAGGTGAAAGAGTTCTAAAGGTTAGAAGTTTACCGTTTCATGCCTAATACCCCATTTGCCTATAAAATACTTTCCAAAGTTTCATAAAACTGAAAGAAAGGATTCTTGGATTGCATTCCATGATGGCACAAGTCCTCTTACTTTTAGGCTCACGTTCATTACAAATACTTTCCTGTTTTGATTTTGTTAGAATACTGGACTTGACTTACTTTTCTTTATTAAATGTGTACTTTTTACACGTAGAAGGCTTTGAAACCCAGAAAGGGTACAGGTATAGTGGGAAGCATTGTTCTACCACATCTATAACCTATAGCACAAACATGAATTTAATAAACCCTTTCTTTTGTCTCCCTCGTAAAGGTGTGCCAGTGCTGGCACACAGTAACCGAATGCACTGGGGCACCGCTGTGCACAAAGCAAGTGCTCCCATCACCGCTGAGGTTCCAGCAGCACACTGCCAGAGCTTCCGCCTCCAGTTCTGATGCCGTCATAGCCAGCAAGAACGGCTCAGGAACGAAAGACCCGGAAGCGCTCCAGGCTCATCCGGTGTCTGTGTCTGCACTCTGACCAGGCAGTGTACACGCTTCTTGCAAATCCATTTCTTTCTTTCTTTTTTTCCTGACCAATATGGCTTCTTTAGTATCATGAGGCAGGGGCCAGACAAGCCTCTATGTCCATCCGCCTTTACCTCTTTTGACACCAATCGTCTTCCTTTAAAAAAAATTTTTTTTTAATCGTTTTATTAGGGGCTCATACAACTCTTATCACAATCCATACATACATCAGTTGTGTAAAGCACATTTGTACCTTCATTGCCCTCATCATTCTCAAAACATTTGCTCTCCACCTAAGTCCCTGGCATCAGCTCATTTTTCCGCTTCCCTCCCCGCTCCCCTCTCCCTCATGAATCCCTGATAAGTTATAAATTATTATTTTGTCATATCTTGCCCTGTC